ACCGTCCCAGTCTGTGCTCATCCAAAACCCGGCAGCTAAAGGCTGCTCTCCCGCCTGGCAGTTGTTTGCTCCCAGCGAAATGCAGGGGAAAGTGGGGCTTTTTACGGCAAAAGGGAGCCACTCCAGGGACCGGTGCGTGCGCTCAGAAGAAGTGGGAAGAGCTGATGGGTTTTGGCACAGTGCTTGGGCTGAAAAGCTAACTCCAGCTCCAGACCTTGTTTTGCAGTGACCTGTACCGAGCATTGGCTTTTTCCTTTTTCTTACCAAATGGAAAGAAAAAGAAATCCTTCCAGGTCAGAGGAAAGACAAGCATTTACTTGTGGGTCAAGTGAAACAATCTGATGCAGGGTTGAGTGCACTTTCATCCTCCCTAAACCAGGAGAAGATTCAATTTCCACCTGAAAAAAAAATCTAAAAATAAAAAGAGAAAGGTTTTTCAGGGTCAGAAGTACTCGATTTTGGCTTTTAAGCCCAAATGACTTCCTAAATTGAGCCCCACTTTGCAAAGCACTAGTCAACCCAAAAGCACAGAGGGATGGGGAGGGGATGGGCTGAGTACTGATCTGGGAAATTTCAACCACCAGGCGTGGTGTCAGTGCCCAGCTGGCTGCAGCCACCACAGGGGCCAGCCTGGGACCCCCCTGTGTCCCTGGTACACTGCTCAGGTCCCCCACCCTCAGCTCCCGCTGATCCTGGCTGTGAGCCAGGGCACTGGCAGGAGGAGGGCCTGCCTCCGCAGCACTTTGTTCATCTGAAGCGAGCTGTCGCTTTCCAGCCTCCTCCCCGCCAGCCAAATGCTTCCTGACAGCCTGTTTAAAACTCAAAGCACCCGATTACCACCAGGCAGCTGCTCACAGACACAAGAAACTCTTCCGTAACCCCCTGAAACAAAATCCCTGCCCAGAGCATCACATCTCACCCTTTCCAGACCCACCCACACCCCGGGGGGGGGGCACCAGGGTCCTTCTCGACCTGGTCCAGGTCTGGCTCTGCTCTCACGTGCGTGGCCCCAGCCCAGGAGACCCCGCGTTTCCGTCACCGAAATGCCAGCACTCACTTCCCACCACCGCAGCGGGGAGGAGAGCTGCCCACCCCGGCTCCCTCCACCTGGCAGCGCTGACCCCAGACCCCACACGTCACCCGAGTCCATTAGCGAGTCCCCAGAGCGCACACCTCACTGGCATTTTGCTTCACCCCAGCTTTTAGGGAGAGCTGCAGAGCTGTGCTGCCTTTCAATTTTTAATTTGCTCTAAACATTTTGGTCCTCTCCCCTAGGGACTCCCGGTCGATAATCTCTGCCAGCCCCACAGCTGCCCCATAGCCCTGGGAAGGGTGGAAACTGGGGGCAAGGGAGACGAAAGCAGCTCTACACCGAGCCACTATCCCTCGGAGGAGTGGGACCCCTTTGCACGCACACCTCAGGATGAGGGGCACCCCTGCCGAGTGCTGCAAGGACAGGGTCCCCACTGCCCCATGGAGATGCTCCTCGAGAAGAACAGGGGGGACCCCCAGCCCCTCCAGGGATGTGACACCTGCAGAGACAGGGTTGTCACAGGGCAGAACGTCTTCCTCCTTTTCAGACACCTCCATGGCATTGAGTCCCTCCAAACTTCACAGCTTGCTGGGGTTTACCCCCACGCCTGGCACAGCCACCTCTCCTTCCACACCGCCTGGTGCTGGTGTGGCAGCAGCCTGGAGCAGGGACACGAGTGCAGCATCACTTTCCTGTCCCCAAGGCGTCTTGCTATTTTTCCACTGCCTTAAGCAACAAATGTACAAACAGAGACCTGCTGGGCATGAGAAATGTGACCTGAGCTGCTCTGGGAAGGGAGATGCCACTGCATAGCCGGGAAGATCAGCCTGGGTCACCCTGGAGCAGGGGACCAGCTCTTGAGGGGGTTTTCTGTCCCCCAGGTGCTGGGGGGTCCAGGCTCAGTTCTTCACACACCTTTTATCTTGATTGAAAGGGCATGGAAAACTAACCAAGCATTTGCAGAGAACATGTGCATGGCAAAAAAAAAAAAACACAAAAACAAAAACCAAAAAACTCATAGGAAAAAGAAATATCCTGACCAGTTAAGCGTCAGAAAAGGTGCACGGGATCAGAGCAAAGCCTCGCACCCCAACTCCAGCAGAAACCCAGGGACAGTGCACCAAGGGTGATGCGCAGTGGTAACAGCCCAGAATATTCTCCTTCCCTCCTCAAACTGGCACATTAGGGAGCTCCCAAGGCACAGGGAATGCCTTGATACTGCTTAATGCTGGCTGGCTTCCTCCTGCAAATTTGCCTGCTCCCTTTCTGCACACATGTAAGCTCCCAGTGTCCAGACCCCCACAGCATCCCATCATCCCTCATTTTGCAGCTGGAGCCCCCTGCTCCACGGCATGGACATAATCATCATTAAGTCAGCTCAGTTCTCTCTGCCGTGTGCCCATAGGACACACCGCTATGTGCCTGAAGGACAGGCAGATCAGTGTCCCCACCCCAAAATGCAGCGAGCCCACAGGGATCCCTGCAGAAAGTGGGGGGGAAGCAGGCAGAGGTGGCTGCCCCAGGGACTCCCTCGCCTGTCCCCAGGAGGCTGGCACAGAGTGGGGCATTGTGACAGGCCTGTGGGTCCAGGGCAGCTGGGCTGCGAGACAGCCCACACTGAGCAGCAGTGGGACCCCTCCCCAAAAGCCCCCAGTCACCAGCCGTGGGACCCACCGCGCTCCAGGCAGGGAACAGGGACGGAGGCAGCCCCAGCCAGGCACAGGGGTGCTGCCCACCCAGCAGGGTCTTCTTCAGCTCCTCGCCTCCCTCACCCTCCCAGACCCCGGAGAAGAGGGGCTCTAGGTTGAAGGGAGCCGAGCTGCTGAGAGCTAGCCTCGGCTGCCACCTAGCAGTGATCCAACAGCAGTGGGGACAGGGGGACAGGTCCTCCAGCCCACTGGCTCCTGCTGCAGCCCGGAGTGGACACGGGGGCTCCTGGGCACAGCCCACCCCAACCCAATTCTCAGCTCCCTGAAACCAAAGGGGACTTCTGCAGCAGAAAGGGTGCTGCTGGAGACGAGCACTCCATCACCCTGACAGCTCCGAGCAAATTCAGCTCCTTTTCAGCCACTCCCTACACTAGATGACAAACATGGGTGATGCAACCCCCCCGGCCTGAAGTCTGAACCTCCCCACAGGGATTTACAGCCCCTGCTCAAGTCATAGCTCTTCACCTCTCTGCGTTCATCTCCTTCATTAGTTTTCCACACAGTTGTTTCCTAATGGGCCCCAGATTTTCTTTCTCTCCCTACAATTTTTTAGCCCTGTCACATCCAAAACCACCCCTAACTGCTGAAATTAAAACAAAAGTCATAGAATAACAAAAGTCATAGAATGCTTTGGGCTGGAAGAGAGCTTTAAAGATCACCTAGTACAATCAACAAACTTATGCCATGCTTTTATCCATTCCAATAGTAACGTTAAACCTTTTACTGATCTTTTCTTGGTGGTCTGCAGTGAAGCACACCTCTGGCATGTTTGCAGGTGGGCATGGAGCAGCCCTTGAAGCCCCTGAAGACCTGAGGAACAGTCTAGGCACCAGCAAACCAGCTCAACACCAGCATTCATAACGTGGGCACTTCTATTTTCACAACTTTTCTTTACATTAATAAACTCAAGCCCAGGAGGATTTCTTGCCACAGGCCAGGAGCCGCAAGCACGGCCATCGTCAAGTTTCAAGCTTTCTCTCACTGAGTTCTTTACAAATCTAATTCAATATCTGTAACATGGGATTCCTGACGCCTCCTATGTGTGGCATCCTAATCCAACAACAGATTAGAGCATCTTTTTCTTGAGGAAGGAGGTTTCTTTTTGCAAGTTATCAGCATTCACACAGACTGAGGCCTGAGCTGGGATCACAGAATCACAGAATGTTAGAGATTGCAAAGGACCTCGAAAGATCATCTAGTCCAATCCCCCTGCCGGAGCAGGACACCTAGATCAGATCACACAGGAACGCATCCAGGCGGGCTTTGAATGTCTCCAGAGAAGGAGACTCCACAACCTCTCTGGGCAGCCTGTTCCAGTGCTCTGTCACCCTCACCGTGAAGAAGTTTTTTCTCATATTCAAGTGGAACCTCCCATGTTCCAGCTTGCACCCATTGCCCCTTGTCCTGTCACTGGATGTCACAGAGAAGAGCCTGGCTCCATCCTCCTGACACTCACCCTTTACATATTTATAAACATTGATTAGGTCACCCCTCAGTCTCCTCTTTTCCAGGCTAAAGAGACCCAGCTCCCTCAGCCTTTCCTCATAAGGGAGATGCTCCATTCCCTTCATCATCTTTGTGGCTCTGCGCTGGACTCTCTCCAGCAGTTCTCTGTCCCTCTTGAACTGAGGGGCCCAGAACTGGACACAATATTCCAGATGCGGTCTCACCAGGGCAGAGTAGAGGGGGAGGAGAACCTCTCTCGACCTACTGACCACCCCCCTTCTGATACACCCCAGGATGCCATTGGCCTTCTTGGCCACGAGGGCACAGTGCTGGCTCATGGTCATCCTGCTGGCCACCAGGACCCCCAGGTAACCACCAGGATATGACGACCTCTCCCAACAGCAAGGAGTGCGTAGAGCATCCACGGTGTTAAAACACCAAAACCATCTCCCCACACAATGTCAGAACTGCTCGTGCACTGAGGGAGGGATAGGCAGGCAGCTTCCCTCTCCTAAATTTAAAGGACATATAACACAACATGACACTTAGGTGTTCTCCCAAACCATTACATTAAAGAGCAATAAATCAGTACAACAGCAGTACAACAAAACCAAACTATTTTCCTGAGAGTAAAAGTAACATTTAGCACATGTACTGGACACATCTGAGAAGGATTTCAGACTCCAAGTTTTTCAAGGGATCAAATGTTTCTTAACAAAGAAAAGGACAGCACAGTCAACACAGAGGACCACTGTTGCTCTAGTCAGCCTTCTTCCTTGGCAGCTGCTCCAGCTCCAGCTTCTCCCCTCTGCTCACACCTTTCTCAGGCTGGGGAGCCACTGGAAGCAATCCCTGGGAGTGGCTAAGCGTGCGGATGCCAACACCGCAGACAGCATGGTACGAGGAACATACAGTTTCTGAGATGGCCCTTGGTCAGACAGCCCACTGGCACTGCACAGACCAACTGCAAGGCTCCTGGGAAGGTCTTTGTTCTTCATTTTCTCTTCACCTGCATAAGGAGGGACACAGAGAAGAAAGATGGTATGTACATTGGCAAGTTTAGATCAAAATCCCTTTTGCCTGGACCTTACCAGGTCATGGCAAGAGGATTTTCTACTGCACACCTATTTGAGGAGCCCAACGTGGAATAATCCGAGAGCCTCTCTCTCCCTCTCCTCCCAGTGCTCACCCCTATTTCCCCAGAGGGGGGAAAGCAGATGGGAAATAAGTAGTGCATGTCTGGAGAACAAGACCTCTGCTCCAGACAGACGGCAGAGAGCTCTGTTCCAAAGCACAAACAGGCACTGTCTTTGGCAAGTCAATCTACTTCATAAATTGGGCAACTCTCCTACGGGTGCTGTAAATTCTTTCATCATATGGACGATGAACACCCACACAGGGACCTTACGAGGTTTAAAAAATGCTTTTGCCCCTTACAGCTGGGCGATTGAGAGACTCTCAGTATGAAATGAACTGGAGTAGAGAAACAAAGACTTCCGCATGAAAGCAGCAGAAAGTCCAGAAAAGACAACAAAAATCAACAGAGAGAAGTAACCCTCAATTAATTTCTTCCCATTAAACATTTACAGAACCATTTTGCTGCACAAAGGTCAAACTGATGCACTGCAACCAGCCATTTATTCTTGTCGCATCTCCATCCCACAGAAACAACAACATTTTCATCTGTCCTAGCCAAGAAGCCATACCAGTCCTAGGATACCCAACAGCGACTGCAAGACTCACAGTATGGTGACAGACTGCCCAGCGTTCTGCCCTGTTAAATTTTACTGACAAATCTATTCGTACTGTTATGGTTGTCCAGCATAAATGGTAGTGCCATAAGTAGAACAGAGGGATGTAGAGCTTCATGAAGTTGGGCCTTGTTGGAAAATCTTTCTAACTGATCAGGGTCATCTTGTCTCACTTCTGCTGGTTGCTCGGAGTAGATAAGGGAGGTGCCAAAGTCTTCCACTGACTTGAATAAGACAGCACACATTGAGGACTCTCCAAGAGAATGAGGTGTCTGCAAATGTATACAGAAAACTCAGGAGAGGGTGTGATAAGTGCACACTCGGTTCATTAGCTGCTCTGATTTTTATCGTCTCTCAAAGTCCACAAAGAACTGTAATATCAGCAACTGGACTATTTAAAAAACAAAACCAGAAAAACTAGTTACTTACAACCTTGGCCAAAGGGCAGCTTTTCCTGCACAGCAAACTGAAAAGAGCGACAGATTATTACAAGATACAAGTCACCATGTCTTCACAAAGAATTAACAGCTGGCTCACCTCTGAGCAGCCCCACGCAGAACAAATTACAGAAATTATAGAGGGAGTTTCTGCAAGGAAGTGGGAATCGAGTCAGAATAAGTCCGTCTGCATTTTTGCTTAAGAATACAAATTAAACTTCAGTTCCAGGGATGATTGCCCATGTCTCCGCAATAGCCAGAGACTAGAGGCAATGTTTGTATTTGTTAACTCAGCACAGAGGAGAAAAACAGTGAAATGACAGACAAGCAGCAATTCACCTTGCCCAACCATAGCTGTTCAAAAATTAGGTGCTTGCTCTCTAAGCTTCTTCCGTTGTCAAGGCAGCAGAAGAAAACCATCCATCTTCAGAAGGGGTAAATCACCTTCCAGAGGTGCTTCACCCATTGGTGAGAGAGTGTTCAGAGGACTGGCTCAGAACAAAACAATTGTATTTCCAAACAGATTTAAGCAATTTAAATTGGCCCCCACAAGGGGACCATGAGGCGCTTCTGAAGCAGCATGGAGGGCAACATGGCTGAGCAGCAGAAATTCTGTGCTGACAGGATGCCAAGACAGAATAATTGGAATGACAGGCATCACCGGAGTCCAATTAACCAAATATTCAGCTTGATACCATCAGCCCACTGAAACTTCTTCCCAGCATGCAGTAAAAACCAGAGTGTTAGGACAAGGGGAAAAAAACAAGGTTAAAAAATTATCTCCTTTTGCCAGCCATGCTATCCTTGTTGGGGGACAGGCAGTGTCACTGCCACTCCATGGCAAAGCAGAAAGAGACAGGGTGCAAGGGTGGACACTAAAAATGTCTGTTAGCACTGGAAAAAGCTGGGATGGAAAGAATTTTAAAAAGAGGCTGTTCAGTTTACAAAAGAGGCAAACGAGGCACCCTAGAGAGTGCTGTGAGGGGCAGGAAGTAAGGCAGCATCTGCTCTTTCTCCTGATTCACACAACTAAGAACACCACCACTGAAAAGGAAAACATGAGCAGTGAAAACTGGAAAGGAAGGAATACCACTTGGTGATGCTGCAAGTGCCACAAAACCCTGAGGTCAAGAGATGGGCAGGAATCAGAGAGAGGAAATCCTCCTGTCTGTCCTCATAACTAGCTGACTGGTGCATTTTTTTCCCCTTAATGTCTATAGGCAGGATTATTTTTTCATCCTACAGTCTTTCTTAATAGAAATTCTTCTCACTTCCTCTAAAGACTGTAACAGAGATCACAGCCAGGGACAGAAAATGTGCCCAGGACTTCTCTGATCCAGTTAAGGAAATTCTCATGCTTCGAAACTCACACAGTTTAATACTTGCAGGGGAGAACTGAAGCCAGCTCACAAGGACCCTACTGCTATCTACCCACCTGCCTCCATTTCATCTCATCACACTTTCTCCCCACCCTTCCTACAAGAAGTTTTCCCCTTCTCTCATTCTCTCAAGGTCCCTTTTCCCAGCTTGCTTTCTCTCCATCCCTTTCAGGTAATATCTCCCAGTCACCAATTCTTCCAGCTCTGCTCTAGACTACCTGAGAGCCAATTTTCACCCTCATCCTTCTAGAAAGAGCTTTGTCTCAGGCGCCATCAACCTCCAGATGTGCAAGGAGCTGTGTTTATCCAAAACCTTGCAGGCACACTCCCATTTCCAGCTCTGTAATGCCTTCTGTGGCTCCACAAACCCTGAGCGACACTGGCTCCCTGCTGGACCCAGAGTGAAATGTTTGCAAAAGGCCATGCTGCAGGCCCTGTTAGCCTCATTGTTAACTGCTATTTAAGAAGCAAAGTCGCAACACCAGCGCCACACAATGCCTCAAAGCACAGCCCAAAACACAATCCTCCCAAACCCACCCTCCTAACTCAGAAGAGGCCTGAGTGATCAAGAGTAGCCCCACAATAACTCCTAGTAACCCTCAGGACTGTGAATGGAAGAGAGAGAAGAGCAGTGAATAAGGGCCAGGTTTGATCTATAAAGTCCTGAAATGGTCAGTCTTGCTTCCACAACACCTTGACATGCCAGTGGAGCACTAGTGGATCACCAGTGACACCAGAAATAACAGCAATGAGGAAAAAGCTATAGCTCTGAGCCCATGCTAACAGCTAGTTGTTATTTCATTGCCAGTCACTTTTAAAAAATACATGTCAAAGCAATCAAAGGGTTATTCAAATAATCTAAAGACAATAACTCCTCAATAGAGAAAAATGCCCTTACCTTAACCACTTCCATAAGCTCTGTAGAAGTTTCATTTGTATCCTCTTGTGCACATTCAGGATTTTGGTCTGTTGTTCTCGGGACACTCACTTCATCCAAAAGTGGGCACACATCATCCTGTTTCTCCTTCTTAGCTGACAGGTGCCACGGCTAAGGAGATGGACAAAGCAAGAAAAGGTACAGCCAGGGTGGGCAGAAGAAAGCAGGAGCAATCTGGAGCAGATTGCAGAGCAATCAGATGATACCACTCGGATATTAACCGAGAGAGAAATGCAAAAGAGCTTTTCTGTTCTGCTCGGAAGTTTTAATATTCCTACCTGGAGAAGTCTGGGCTATTTGGAAAGGACAGAAAGAACATGGAAGGTCAGGAAATAATGCAAACAAGAAACTAATTGTCACTGAAACTTCTCCACAGTAAAACTTATTACTGGGAAAGCACAGCTTTATTCAAGCAAAGTTTTCTGGTTATTGCTTGCTGCCTTCTGAGAAATTGTACCATGGAAAAGTGTCCTAATGGAGCAGAGCTGATACAACACAGCGTCCAGCCATTTTGCACTTAGGAGGGGGTGGTGGTGGTGTTAATCCTGACAAGGCAAATCTAAGATTGGAAAATGCAAAGGGAGTTCCCCACTGCTTAAGAGGAGTTACCAGAAAATGCCAGCTGAGCACTTACAAGTGTCATATTAGGCATATTTCATTCCAGCTCAAAACATTGAGTAATTTTATAATTGACTTTGATGATCATGTTAGTGATTCGCCAAGGAAGAGAAAGAATCATTTTGGGCAACTAAACAGAACAGCAGAGAAGAAAATGTTTAAAGTCTTACACAAGGAGAGATCTGCAGGACTTAATTTTCTGGAAAAGTATTCTAAGGCCCTTGAAATCAGACAGAAGGAAACCTGAATGCATTTACATTCCTCCAGTCTCCAAATTGCCAGCTATGTTTGACATTTACACACGTGGATCTTGCTACAGTTAACCAGATTTTTCCATAAAAATCACAATAAACTCAGATTTGCAGAGGCTCAGCCACATTAATTTCTTCCAAATACATACAGATGCTGGTTTGGGACCTTCAGTTCAGATGATGTATTGACAGTGCAAGGCCATTAATATCCAAGATATACAGCACAGAAACACAGCTGGCTAAACCAAAACCTAGGTAAAGTGACTTCTTTACAAGTTACTAACATTACACTAGCTTTTACTCTTATTTCAGAGAAACGTCAGAACAACAGCCCCGGAACAGGCCCACTGCTGAACGCTTCAACAGCTGACATTTACTTGAAAGGTGCTTTGGCCCCTGTAATAAAATGTGTCATGAAAATACTACAATTTAAATAACACAGAAAAGTAGAGAGAGTAACCTGTAGACAAGTGTTCCTGGTGTTTCTACCAGTAATGTATCAGATTGCACTCAAGACCTGGGTTTTACTCCCTATTTAACCCCTCTGTTCACCAGTTTCTCCATCTGTTAAATTGCAAGGGGCTCCTCTTTTTAACATGCTCTGAAATCACAGGTGTAAAGCAGTACCCAGATCTGGATATCATCCACCTTTAGAGTTATCTTTTTATTAAAACTGTAGCTGTGTACAGCCTTACCCCTGCAACAATGAGGACTGCAAATCGCTTCCTTTCAGATAAGTTCAGAACAAGCAAGACCCTTAATGCAAATATACTACTAGTTCTTCTGGTCTTTTCCCTCATTTAAATGATACTTCGACTTACTACACATCCTTTGCCAAACACCACAGATTTAAGAGGAAAACGTGCCACTTCTAGACTCCTGGGGGTGCAAAACATGAAAGCACTAAGTCAAACTGATCTTGAGAATCTCTTACTGGTCTGAGTTCTCAGATTCCATTTTCTCTCTAACTGAAAAATTATGGTGCATATGGGAGGTTAGAGAAATCACTGAGCACATAGACTGCCTGAAGTCTCCAAAGGGATCTGAGAAGCAAACATGTATTTATGGTCCATGTGTAATCACTTTTATATTATGGTTCTGCTTGCTTTTTATAAAAGCAAAAAAACACAACTCTACAAAAAACTGCATGGGACTAAAACAACACATCTACTGACCCCTGGAGCCGATTTCACTGAATGATAGTTAAGCCACAGGCAAGCTCCCACCTGGTCACACCATTCATGCCCATCCAGCTTTGAGCTTGCTGTTTCACTATGTGCATCTGGAGATCCCTGCTGCAAGCAAAGGTCTGGCTTCACCAGCTCAGCATTCTCCTGGTTTCCACTGGGCCTAACATACAAAGCCGAGGGATTCAGTTCCATGAATCCCTAGGAACAAACAAACAAAAAACCCCAGTATAGTAAAGAAAACCATGTTGTAACTACCACGAAGAAGAAAAAGGATTCAGCAAATTTTCAATAGGTTTTATGAAAAAGCACGCCACCCACAAGTTAGCTCCAAATTGCAGAAATTGTCTTATTATGAAAATCAAATCCCCTCCCTCCAGCAACAAAATTACTCAGCAATGTCCCCCTTCCCCCAGAATTGGGCATACACTTGCAAAAATGCAATCACAGGATCTAATCCTGCCAAAACACACATTCTGCATCTATTGAATAAAACAACAGATACGAGCACTCCAGGCTGTAACGCCTGACTTTCTGCTGAGATATAAAATCATGGCAGTACCTTTCTAAGGGTTTTCAGATCCACACAGTTCTTAGTTGAAACTGAGCCGAGACATTCAGATAATGACACAGATGGGCCTAAATCATAAACACTCTCTGCACTGGCTTACAACTTGAATGTCTGTCCAAGGCACAATGTGCAATCAACTATGGTTATGTTGTCCAACCATTGTACATTTCACTGGCAAAGTAAAAGACTTTTTAAACCAAGCTCATTTTCATAATTCAGTTTGTTAACAGCATAACCAATCCTCAGTGCCTAGAGCAGAGAAGGCCAAACCAATTTATTTAACTGTCCTGTTCCTCACTCAACTGCTCCTGCCACTACCTAACACTAGTTCAAGTGAGTCACCAAAAATCTAATCAACTTGCTCTCATTAATTGTTTGGGTGAATCAGAGGCCTCTTAAGGTATGACTACGAAAACTTGCTGGAATTAACAATGCGTAGTTGAGCATCTCTTAACAACCTCTGAATTCCATCTCCTTTTGGCTTTATGCTGAGAACATTTACAGCCATTTTACTTTTCCATATTATTTATACAAGATGTGTGTGAGCTCTAGATGAATCTGCAATGCTTACAAGCTAATTAAAAAAAAATCAAAACCTAACCACTGTTAGAAGACAGGATGAAAAGAACTTGTTCTACTAAACTAGAATGTCTCTGTCACATCACCAGCTTCCACCCTAACCAACAAGAAAGCTCTCACCACAGAGTGACACTGTGCAATGTAGTCACAAAATGGTAAGTTACAGGAAAGCAGGGAATACCAGTTTTGCTCTTCACAAAACTGCTTGCTTGAAGCTAAAGATCCTCCCATTACAGGCACCCAACGATCCTTTCCCTGCCCTTCCTTTCAGCAGCACACGCCTCCCTCCTGACCTGAGAAGGAATGTTCTCTCTGCAGAGGTCCGCGTATCCCCCATCTTTCAAGACGTTGTGAAAGTAGACGTCCTTCGCAGTGGATGTGTCACACAAGAAGAGATGCAAAACGCTGTTCACGTATTCATCCACGATGCCCACAAGCAGCTTGGAGGCACACAGGCTCTTGAACAGGAGAGTTGCTGCATTGGACCACGTACCCTGAAGAAGAAACAAGAATGTAAAGTTACTATAAACAGACCGACATCCACCATCTGAGACTTTCCTTTGTGAGCACTTGTCAAAAGGGCAATTAAACCAAGTTAGGCAACAGACAAACACAGGCAAGGCAGGCAGACAAGCTTCCCTGCGCTGAACTAAATGAAACTACCCCAAAGCCTGCAATGCTAGTTACACTGGGAATGCCCTTGCACCCTAAATATTTATTTTCTAACATGGTTTTATGGCATTCACCAGTGATTTCATCACAACTGCCTAAAATACCGTTGTTGGTTGTTTTTTTTTGTTGTTGTGGGGTTTTTTTTTAATTCCTGGAATCATGTGATTATGAATGTTAAAAATTGTCAGAAGTTTTAAGAAGCTGCTAAGCCTCACCACAATGAAAACCGTGACGCTTTAACCCTCAAAAACCAGAAGAACTTTTTATACATAATGTCTTAATTTAAAACACAGAAGCAGCAACTGTGCTCACATGCTTTCCTTCAGAGATGGTATTTCTCAGGATTCTTGACCAAGAGGTTTCCCAGCACAGAGAAACTTTCTTATCACCTCTACAATTCTTTGGCTATAATAATTGCACCAAAACAACTCAGTTAAAGCTCTGTCACAGAAGAAATTTTTTCAACCAAGGCTTTAGAAGGACCCTAGAGAACTACTGTCAGGGGAAGAAACAAGTTAGCTTGTTTGCTTAACAGTAGCTATCTGTTTCTGCAACAATATGAGCAAGAATATTCTGATCGTAAGGAAAACAGACAGCGGAAGGGTGATCTCTTGCAGAAACAGCCTTACACTGTCATACTCTGCTGAACACAACAGCAGCAATTCTGCTGTAAACACCAACAGGACCTGAATTAATCTAAATGTTTTCCCTTAACAGAAGATAAAGCCAACCTCTACTCGATAGCTCTCATACATATGTCAAGAAACAAAACTGCATGTGAACACATACCTTCACGGGTTTTACCCATGCTAAGGAACATGGGATGGCCTGAGCAGGGAGCTTCAAGTAGCACCACCTACAACACAAAACAAAGCCATTACCACAACAGCAAAAACAGGCAGAAGAGCAGAACTTCTTCCTCTTCTGGGTTTTACAATCAGCTTAGGTATAGAGGCATGTGTTGGATTTTGCACCTATGAACAAAACCCAACAGCAGCTTTGGAAAACACTCTGTAACCAGAGAATGGGCACAGCAGAAACACCAGTAACAACTGGTCCCTTATGCCTTCCCTTGCCCAAGCATCTTCCCATCACAACCCCTTACAATTACAAAGTTATGGACAGAGAGCAATGATTTTTGAAACAAAGAATGACAATAGCCAGGCAGAACAGAGGCAAATGAGAGGGAAGAAGCAAATATGGAAAAGGTACCAAATTGCAGAGTAGAATGACACTGACACTGCAAATGCATCCCACTTGGACTGACATCCATTCAGGAGGATGTTTACATCCATTCATGGAACCCAGGAAGGAGGACTAGGGAGCGTGCCCCAACGTGACCAGAAATGGCAAGAGGAAAGACTGAGGAATGAAGACAGAAATAGGAAAGGATTTAGTTCATACTCACTGTGTGGAAGCGATGGACAGGGTTGCTAAGCAAAGAGCCCAAACTGACCAGCAAAACAGGTTTTAAACAATGTCACCTCAAGCATGTAATCAAGGAAGTGCTCTAAGGCACCACTATGGAACAAAAACCCAGATCCTTTCTAGGAAATCTGCATGCTGGGATGTCTTTCTGAAGAAAGACAGGCCATTCAGCCTCACCTTGAAGGCAATGGAACAACTAATCCTGGAGACCGTTTCAAGGACAAAATGAAGGACAGGAAGGTGACTGGAGTCAGCATGGATTCACCAAGTCATGCTTGACCAACTTGACAACCTTCTACGATGAAATGACTGGCCTGGCAGGCGAGGGGAGAGCAGTGGGTATTGTTTACCTTGATTTCTGTCAGGCTTTTGATAGTGTGTCCTGTAAGATCCTCACAGAAAAACTAATGAAGTATTGGCTGTACGAGCAGACTGAGAACTGGTTGAAAGGGCAGGCCCAGAGAGCGGTGATCAGTGGTACAAAGTCTCCTTGGAGGTCAGGAACTAGCCATGTACCCCAGGGGTCAATACTGGCTCCAACACTGTTCAACACCTTCATTAACAATCTGGATGTTGGGGGAAGAGTCTACCTACAGCAAGTCTCCTGATGATTCAAAACTGGGAGGAGTGGCTGATACACCAGAGGGTCATGGTACCATTCAGAGGGACCTCAACAGGAGACAGAAACCGGCAGACAGGAACCTCATGAACTTCAACGAAGTCCTGCACTTGGGGAGGAACAACATCATGCACCAGTATGTACTGGGGGCCAGCTGGCTGGAATGCAGCATTTTCACCATGAGGGTGACCAAGCACTGTAACAGGTTGCTCAGAGAAGTCATGGAGCCTCCATCCTTGGGGACATTCACAGGCCATCTGGACATGGTCCTGGGCAGACAGCTCTCAATGACCCAGGGAGGCTGGACAGGATGACCTCCAGAGGTCTCTTCCAACCTCAACCGTTCTGTGACCCATGTGTAATTTACTTACTTGAGGAATCTCAGACAAGACCTTTGGACAATTTCAAGGTTTCCGTAATCTGCGTAGAACACCTCTACTTCTTGGTCATTGATCACACGGTGGATGATAACACGATACCACCATTTCATGACCATTACACAGCAGAGCTGTCCAGGCTGCAGTGCAGACTCAGGCATGATATATCGATCAGAGACAAGTTTATATGAGTAACAGTTTCTGCAAAAGATCATAATGAAAAACTGTGCTTAGTAGGATGCAGGAGATGAACAAAGAGAAATATACAGAACTTCAGAAGAATCTTGATTACTCAAAGTCCCCATGACATGACTTTTCAGGAGTTGTTTTAATAGATGCTTTGCATCTCTGTTCTGCTATATGTAAACTGAAATGACAATTTAAAAAATGCAAATCCAAACTTTTAACATTTGAATTATATTCTTGGGGTCCAACAAAAAGTTAATTAATGAGGATTAAATCAGAGGCTAAATACAGTCATTCTAGTAATTAATTTTTAACATTACCTTGACATGTCAGTGCTTCTCATGATCCAGGTTCTGGAGTACTGGCTCACATACATAGTATCTGTCTGCAGTCTGTAATCACACTTACATGGGCCCCAGCATGTTCTTTGGCACACAGCTAACAGCAATTGTAGCACTGTCGTGGTGGAATAGAATCCCAAATGCGTAATGTAACTGACACAAACAAAGCCACCAATGGGGTTTTGCTTTCAAATATAGACGTGGCAAAGCCTATTACCTGTTGCTTTTTGGTAAGTGTTGGAGACGAAGGTAAAAGCCTTAACTGAGCACATTATCAACAGCAGCATAGAGAATAGAGAGGGGCAAAGGAACCCTGAAGTTCCTTTAAAAGCTTGGAAAGGCTATGGAAAGTTTAGGACTCTAGGACACAGCCAAACTACCATAAGTTGCCATCAACCACACTTATCGCTTGCTAGTTAAAAGGCATGGGTAATAATTACAAGCACGTGTTTCAGTACAGCACCGGCACCTCCAGAGCAAGTAATCAAGCCAGCAATGACCACAACGAACAGCTGGGTGCCCTGTTCCCTCCACACAAACACACGCACATGTAACATAGTACTGAATCAGTGTAGCGTGTTCGCACCTCATCTCAATCATCATATCCTGCAGTTTATCAGATGTTTCACTGCTGCAGACGTGGATGTAGAACTGGCTAGGAGAGACAACAAATTCCACAAAGACTCCCACCAAGCACCTTCTCTCCAGTGGTGGTAAACTGCAAAGGCTTCTGTCCTGAACAGCATCCGAGGGGATTTCTGGAGTTACAATCAACTTGTCTAGTAGGGACTGCTCCAAATCTTGAGGCTACAAAGGGATAGAAGAAGGTGGCACTCAGATGTCTTGTCATGCACTGACCATGCATGACTGGCCTTTCCATTAAGGTAAAAAACCAGTTCTGGTTTCCTGGAGACCTGTGAATTGCTGAATATCACGAGAATCCCAACAAATTGGGTAAACTTGAATTAAAACTTTCCCCGTGACAGAAGCATTCATTTTCACACTCTCTCCCTTCCTTCCTTCTTTCTTCCCTCCAGTGTAAGGAGGGATACAAAGTTACTTTGCTTATATTCCTGCAAGGAATAAAGGAGAGGAATTGAAATCATGTTACATATTTAGATAAAAGTATTGAGTGGCTATGGTCAAAAAAACCAGAAGAAAACAGAAGAAAACACAAACCCAAAAAAAACCCCAAACCAAACACAACCCACCTGTTTGTTGGATTTTACCCAAAAGATGCTATTTCTATGTTCCATGACTGAGTACATGACTGAACCAGCAAAACTGCATCTGAAAATGATTCAAAAGTGACAGAAGGCACAAATACATCTCACTTTCGCACTAGAGCTACTTCCCAAGGATAAAACAAACAAAACCTACAAAATCTGTTATTTTCTCACTCTAAACAAACTTGCACACCAGTCAGCAGCACAGCTTACAATTTTGTGTTATTCTTTAGCTGCTGAAAACATTATCTCACTCAAACTAGCGAGGATGGGAACCTTAATTAGATGTCAGCTTCTTTCACTGCCTCAAGAGCTTGCTTTTGTGCCAACAAACAGCACTCCTCCAGCGATCAGAAGTCAAAATTATTTCAATTTTACTCATTGTGAATATGCTACAAGTTATCGCTGCATTATACATGAGTCAACATATGAGAAACTCGTCTTCCAGCACACACTCCACTGCTTATCTGGCTAAATTCAACTGCAAACAAAGGGGTTTTGCAATACTGGCTCTTTTAACCATTTTTCAAAGAAGCAGATGAGAGTCTTGCCCTCTCCAGACTGAACATGGGCTAATGTCCTTGAAATTTTTTTGAGTTAAAGATTTCAACTAAAAGATTGAGTTAAACATTGAGTTAACATTTCTGAGTTAAAGAGCAACTAAGGGAGTTCTTGCCTGAGCAGCAGCATCATCTCTAAAAAACCCTCACATTTCATGGATTTCCTCTAAGAAGTGCCTGCGACTAGTGGCATTTTTGTTTCCAGAACGCTCTTTGCATCATACTGTTCAGGGCACACATAATCTTTATCTTCTAGCTCACACACTGGTAGCAACAACAGACACTTCTGTGAAAGATGTAAAAGACGCATACTTAAAAACATGCTTACAAAAAAGCAACAAAACTATAAAAATATAAGCCAACAAAACACACTGTAAAACTAGGCTTACAAGAGGTATGGCTTGCAAGACTGGCTACCTCCTTGCCCCAAACTGGACTGGCAGCTGTCAAGAATGGTGTGGATGACACCCTCCCTTCTGCTCAAGGCAGTGAGAAAAGCTGCAGAGAGCAGCAGCTCTATATACTTTACGCTTCTCGAGGCCAAGCGGATTAACTCAGCCTTTCTCCCTTGTTTGTCCTTTACACCACTTCCACTATTACTCTCTTGTGACAGGATACTTGGATACCCTGCAGCAGGGCAGAAACCAGGTCACATTTTTCCCCTCTACCTTGCAGCATCCCGATGACCAAGTGTTCACTGCATAGGTGAAGTAACATATTCCAACTTGCTTTCCTTCCCATTAGGGATTTTTTAGAACAAAATGTCAAACTTAGTGATTGATGGGGAATACTAGTTGTACAAACATATTCCAAGTCTTATGCTGCCGGGATCTTTAAATAGGTTCTCCTTGTGATATACAGGAAAAAAAAAAAAATCTGACTTGAGGTTACCAGGACCACACCCCCCAAAAGCAGACTTTTTTTGATCTAGGGGAATTCCCTCTGAATTTCATCACATCAAACTAAAAAATCATTTAAGGATCAGAACAGCCTGACAAAAATCTCTAAAGGCTATGTTTTATGAAGTCCTGCACAAAGTTCAACTTGTAACCCCAGGCTTCCAAGTTCATTAGTACACAACACACCAAAGTCAGGAAGCACTCCCAGAGCCCTTTTCCTATGGGCTCCAACCATACAGTTGCATACAGACACAAGATGAGCTTGGCAGAGGAAATAACTCTCAGTAAGAGGATTTTCCTGAGAAAAAGGTGGCCTAAAGATGTTAAAAAAAAAAGAGAGGGGACACAAATTCTCCCCATCAGGTCTGTCAGTTCAGAGCATCTGTACTGTTCTACTCCATCCCTTTCTAAAAATACACTACTAAACAAGCAAACAAAAAAAAAAAAACCAAAATTTTCAAAGTCCAACCAAATAGCAGAGTTGAGATTGCAGAAATCAAGGTCTCTATGGACCATTCCCCAGCCCTGTCACATAGCTGCTTGACTACTGCATAGCTTGCCTACTGCAGCAGATGAAAATTCCACACAGCTAGTCTCAGAACAAAGTTATTAAAGTCCAGTTACAAGTAACTACACCAAAAGGTATCACCACTATTAGCAGGGAGCCAAGATCATGCTCAACTGACCTCAGATGATCTCCAAAGTGGATCTCAAGACCAGAAAGAGACCTAGTTTGGATGGTATTGTGATGGGTTTGCCCAGGACAGGTATATAAAGCTATACACCAGGTCAGGATGAGTCTGGTCACTTCCAGACTCATGTAAAACAGGTACAAAAATTTTTGTAAGCAGCAGTGCATCAGCAATGCAAACCCAACAGAAACAAAAGCAGTAGTAAGAGTTATCACACCCTGGATCAAGACACAAAAAAACTGCAGATCACTCATCCAGCCACTTACTTGTTTGAGGCCATTGCCCAAATCTACTGCTTGTGTCACCACTGGCACTGCTTTCTCTTCTGCTCTCAGGTGGAAGGTCTCACAGCTGGGTTCCAAAGGAAGTATCTCAACTGCAGGTGCTGCTGCAAAGACAAAAATTTGGCTGTTACTCATTGTTGGACTGATGCAGTGTTACATATTAAGCAGAAAGAGAAGACATTTGAAAGTCTTAAAGCACTGCTGCTGCTTTCCTCATCTCTTGTAGCATTCACAGCCACCACAGTCGTGAAGATTCACTTGAGAGGCATCCTTCACTGTATTAACAAATTAAAATAAAGCAAAAAGCACTTGCTCTTGTAAGCATGCTAAGGCTTAAATCAATTGCTAGAATGATGCTAAAATTAATTTTCCTCAGAAAAGTTAGGAATTTGGCAGGAATTGTATGTGATTTTCTGCCTTCTCTCACAGCTGTTACGGGAATGCTGAGGACATCTGCAGTCTCTTCTGTTTTCAGAACATTGTAGTTGTGACTTTCAGACAAGTGCTAAACCTTCAGTCTCAAAAAGCGCATCAGAAAGGCTTTACCAGCCTCCGGAGCAGTGGTTCAGGAGATCCTTCTAGTTTTGTTATCTATTGGCTGGAATGACTACAAATTCCAGTCCTATGCACACATCCAGAAAGTCTGTACTCTGAATGGGCTAAACATCCCATCTTTCATCTCGCAGCAAAAAATTGTGGCAACCAGTAGAAAATTTCTAGTTAAGCACTCTGCTACCAAGACAACTCCCTTGTGACAGCTGCTTCTGCAGCACCCCACAGCCCTTCTGTGCTAAAACCTAGGGGAATCAGGACTACTACAGCAACTGGAAATGCAGCAACAGCCACTTGAAACACAGTTTGCTTGGCCACAGCGCGCAAGAGCGCTATGTGCTTGCAGTCAAATAACACACAGCCTCACCTTGCGGCATCCCTTCCTTCGCCTCTCCTTGCGGCATCCCTTCCTTCGCCTCTCCTTGCGGCATCCCTTCCTTCGCCTCTCCTTGCGGCATCCCTTCCTTCGCCTCTCCTTGCGGCATCCCTTCCTTCTCTCTGTGCTTGGCGGCAACCCTCCCTTCGCCTCGCCTTGCGGCATCCCTTCCTTCGCCCCACCTTGCGGCATCCCTTCCTTCGCCCCACCTTGCGGCATCTCTTCCTTCGCCCCACCTTGCGGCATCTCTTCCTTCTCTATCTCACCTACCAGACGCTTCTTCAGTGCCAGCAAGGAACCCAGTCTTGTCTGCTCAACCACAATGATATCAGACACGCTTCTGAGGACTTCAAACATGGAGGAAAATCCATATTGCGTGTACTGGAATGCCCGGCCAAAGCGTCTGAAGAAGGCCTTATCAAAGTCCAAGAGCAGAAGTGGTGAGGAACTCAGAAGATCCTGCAGCTCAGCCTTCACCACCGCTGGCAGGATGGGAGCCCTGCTTCCCCGAGGGAAACTCTGTGGATTCTTAGAGGGAGAAACAGCATCTCCCCTTGCAGCTGCACTCTTCCATGCCTTACCACTACTTTTCTGTCTGGCAACCAGTTTGGCAATCGTTTTAGTGGTCTCATCTGCAATGGCTACAACAGAAAGAAATAAACTATTAGACTGCCAAAACAGTGAACCATTAAAAGCTCTAAATAGGCAAAGCTCCTCTTGTTTCCTTTCTTTCCTCTTCCCCCCCACCCTCTTCAGAAGCAGGTGTCTCATGCAAAAGCAATCACACTAAATTGTGGCTGATTTCCAGCAGGGCAACCACTTTTCCTCTCCCTTTGCAAACTGAGCCATTTTTAACAGCCAACAACCAATCTGCACTCTCAACCCTATAAATCCAGATCTAGGTAGGAAGGTGCGTCAAATTCTTGGATATAGGATCACAACAGGAAACCCAGCTGCTGCAGGTTTTGTTGGGAAAGCAGTAAATGGCTTGTTGCTCTCCTCAGCCAGAATCACCGTAAACCCCCCCTCTACAGAGCACCCACCCAGGCAAGGTCTCCCTGAAGAGCAGCCTAGGTCTTTTCCATGCTTTTAAACACCTTTTTCTTGTCTTACTGTTGCACTCTAAAAAAAAAATAATTACTATTTCACCACTCCAAATCAACTCTTTACATCTACTGTTTGCTCCCACAGCTCTTCCCCAAAGAAACTGAAAATGAAAAAGGTTCTTTTGATAAAGACTAAACTTCCCATGGAATCAGGTAGAGAAACATTTACAGAATCTCTCGAGAGGCCCCAGCCCTGGTTTTGGCTCCTGCTGTAGTCTCCATTTACAGGAAAAGTGAAGCTTACCACTTCTTCTAGTGGACCCATAAGAAATGTTACTGCGGTTTCTAAACTAAGTACAGAATGAAAAATGTACAAAAATAACTAGAAGCCAGTATGATTTTTCAGGAGGAAATACCAGAAAAGCATTAAAAGGAAGATCAAAACACAGGAAGAAACACCAAAGACAAGAAATTAAACTGAGCTATAGAAGAAAAAGAATAACACAAATATGTGATCTAGGGCTCTGGGAATTCATCCTGCACATCATTGTTTGTGGTCCCAAACATTTCCTTCACCCATTAGGGAACAAAACCTCACCTTTGAGGACAAGAGTGCCTTTCTCGTAAGGACAGACTCTAACGACTTCAGGCATATCTGCCACCAGCTCCATGGTGGATTGGAAGCCCAGGTCATGTAGAGGGAGAGGTTTGCCGATCATGGCCACATAGTCCTGCTCCAGCTGTGCTGGGGTTAAGCCCTCTTTGGCAGCCATTAGCAGCGATCTCACCTCTTTCTTCAGCATCTCCATACGCTGCGCCCGCTTTGACATGTCTGCACTAAAGAGGAAACAAAAGCAAGGAGCAGACAACTCATACCACAGCAGCAAGACTTTTTATCACTTAGTAGCCGAAAGGTGGCAGGAGGAAGAAGGCAGCAAGCCAAGTGCACCGCCACTACCTCCCAACCCCCGTATTTCTTCGCCTACACCCCTGGAGCTGCTAGCCTCCTGCACCTGCGGTCCCCAGCCACCTCCTCCTGCGTTTGCTGCCTGTCCCCGTGGGACCACAGCCCCTACAACCACTGCATCCCCCCAGAGCTCAGTGCACCCCTAAACCCCTGCCCCAGGGGCTGCCCTCT